ATATAATATAATATAAATTCCGTTAAAAACAAACTCCAGTGATGGCGCCTGCAGTCAGAACTACAGCTCCCAGAATGCATCGCGGCCGCTCGTCTGGAAAGTACAGAACCGTCAGAAAACTCGCAGCTTTACTTTCATTTTCGCTTGTTTCTGCTGAGTAACTGTGTGCGTTTGTCTGCGCAGCGTCGAGTTACATAGTCTCTGTTTTGGTTTTTTTTTAATCCTCGTTGTTTTGTTACAGTTTRATCTCTTTTGTTAAGTTTATTGATTAAACTTTGTATCGACACAGTCAATCATGGCTTCTCTGGGTATTCGCCTCGAGTCGACGAAACAGGTGAGCTCGAGCGTTAGCATGACAGGAAACAGGCTAAACCCGGTTCTCCTCCAGCACCTGGCTGCTAACAGGTGATGCTAACAGGTGAACCGGAGTTCGGACCTGGTTCCGCTTCGATACGACCCACAGACGGCAGGACCCGGGTCACGGAAGTTCGGCTGCACGGCCTGTTGCGTTCAGGGAACATGATCCAGTCAGGAAATATCAGCTTTGTTTTCAAAATAAACCATTTCTGAGAAAAGTGTTTTGTTTTCATTTCAGGTGGATGATTTCTGCCAGAATCTCTCAAAGGAGGTAATCCTTCCTGGTTTTGTAAATATTTTAATCTGTTAGGGGATTTTTTACAACTTTTATTTTTGTTACAGGCAGAGGAGCTGGTCTCCAAATTTTTCCCTGAGAAGATTGAACAGCTGCAGATGTTGCTGAAGGTATGAAGCAAAAGTTATAGTAGCTACAGATTAAAGAGCAACTTTCATATTTAAGTGTTTTTGAGAAACAAAGATCACATCAGTAAAATTAATTTCAGTGTTCAAAGTTAAGAAATTCATGAAAAAGCTTAAAACGAACAAAGCTATCTCATGTTTTTATAGTTAACTGTTTGCAGTCGGCTGTTTTACGTATGTGGATAWTTTTTTTTTTATCTTTCACCAAAATAAAATCAGACTGAATTAAAAAAGAGCATTAAAAACCCTTTAAAATGACACTAAAATTGTGATTATCTGAATTATTGAGGAAGTTTGAGATCACAAAATGCTGTTTTCAAATTAAAAGTAATTTAAATATCTGGCGGGAAACTGGGTTGTGTGATAATGATTTAAAATAAATCTATAAGGAGCTGGTGGGTGGAGGAAAATTTAGAAAAAATGTAGAAATTCCTATGTTTTTTGTTGCACATTAGATGAAAAAATAAAATTTGCAAGAAGAATAATTTACTAGAATAAAGTGATATTTTTAAGTATTGTAATTTTTTAAGTTTACAAAAAAACAAACCTAAATTTACCATGAAGAAAACTCAAATGATCAGCTCTAACAGCTGTTTTTTTTTTTTTTTTTTTTTTACATTTTTAAATAATAATATTTTGTTTTTGTGAAATGTGTGTCAGACGTCTTTCAGCTGCGATGATCTGGCGTCCCTGAAGGCACCGCTGGACATCCCCATCCCAGATCCGGTCAAAGAGGAGGCCAAACGCAAGAAGAAGGAGGAGGTCTGTTATAAACAAAACAAAATCTAATATAGTTCAAACAGAGAGAACGTAAACATGTCGRGTTCCTGCAAATTAAAACATTTATTTATAAAAATAACTCTTTGATGGGATTGTCTTCGCTGCAGAAGGAGGCTAAAGACGGGAAGAAAAACAAAGACAGCGATAAAGAGGAGGAGGATTCAGGTGTGTGAAGAAAATTTACCAGATTAAAGTTTGTTCTGTATTTAAAAAAAAAAGATAAATCTGAGCAGGAAGCAGGTAAAATGAGTGTTTTAAGTTTGTGGTTTTGCTCCAGGACCTCCGTGCGGTCCCATCTACAGCAACGAGCGAGTGGAGAGCCTCCTGCGGGAGGTCAAACCTGAGATCCAGACRCTGAAGGAGAAGCTCAACACGGTCAGTGGGCGTCGTCCAAACATCAGCTAAAGCTGAGCCGAAATACTGACGGAGCTCACGGGAAGTCGCTAAACATCTGAGCAAAACACACGTTGGAATAGAAACTGTTTAACCTTCAGTCGCAGCAGCTGAAATATTGGTTTTATGCTTTATTGAGTGAACGTTCAGCAATTTATGCTTTTTAAGATATTTAGCTTTTTCTGAGTTTTTGTTTTTCATTAAAAATGATCAGAGTTTTCTTCAGCATCYTTWAAACCTTTTAAAATGTTTAAAACACTTTTCTCTACATTTTACCTTTTATTCTGGTTCTTTGTGCTTATTTTAGCTTTCTTCGGCTTATTTTATAGATTTTAGCTTTTTCTTCAGCTTTTTTAGTTATTCTGACCTTTTCTACTAATTTTCTGCTAATTTAACTATTTTGTGCTTCTTTAAGCTTCTTTCTGCTAATTTAAGCTTTTTATGTTTCTTTCATCTGCTTGCTAGTTTCAACTGATTTCTGTTTTTAGCTACTTTTTTGCTGATTTCAGCTAATTTGAGCTTTTTTCCAGCCAAATTCACCTTTTATGTGATAATTTTAGCTTTTAACTGCTTATTTCAAACGTTCTCTTTGTTTCTTTGTGCTAATTTCAGCTGTTTAAGATATGTTTTTAGCTATTTTTAAGCTTGCTTAAGTTTTTTTTTTAGTATTTCAGAACAAGCATTATTTTTCCTGTTTTTTTTACTCTGAAAATTTTCTCTCTTATTCCCCCRTCTTTTAATTTTAACTTACTTAATCTACTTTTGGTTTCTTTTTGATAATTTAAACTTTCAACCGCTTTCTAATTTTAGCTGATTTTTGTTTTTTTTTAGATACTTTTTATCTAATTTCAGCTTTTTTTCAGCTAAATTCAGCTTTTTGTGATAATTTCAGCTTCTTACTGCTCATTTCAGCAAATATGCTCTTTCTTTGTGTTAACTTCAGCTATTTTAAGCTAGCTTAGGTTTTTTTATGTTATTTCAGAACAAGCATTTTTTTCCCCGTTTTTTACTCCTTTGAAAAACGTTCACTGTAATTTCCCCGTCTGTTAATTTTAACTTGTTTAATATAGTTTTAGCTTTTTTTTTTGATTATTTTAGCTATTTTTTTGCTCTTTTCAAACCTTTTTAACCCTTTCTATTCAATGGATTTATTTTACTTTTGTTTTCCTACTTTCAGCAAAACTCTGCTGTTCAAATTAACAGTTTTGCTAATAAAAAWTTTTAGCTTCTTCAGCAGCTTTCAGCTAAAACCCGTTAGCGTTAAATACTCAGACTGTATTTTTACAGGAAACTCACGTTCTCTGATTTAACAGTGTTTTGTTTCCTGCAGGTGTCCATGTGGGTCCAGCTGCACATCCCTCGGATCGAAGACGGGAATAACTTTGGCGTGGCCGTGCAGGTGGGTCGGTCTAAACCTGGCCCTTCATGTGTCCGAAGGCTAATAATCTAAAAACAAAGGTTTCTCCTCGCCCGACAGGAGAAAGTGTTTGAGCTGCTGACCAACACGCGCACCAGGATCGAGGCCTTCCAGACCCAGATTTCAAAGTAAGAGCGTCGTGTCTGCTTTGTGTTTCTGGTGAAATTAAATTTGTTCGGCGGAGTCGGCTGTCAGAAAATTAACCTTTTTAGCTGATTACTCTGCCAGTTATATCCATCATTCATGTTGTTTTGATGTAATAAATTTACATTAAAGTGTAGATGTTGATGTAATTCTGTTCTTTTTAACCAGATATTACAGCGAGAGAGGYGATGCTGTGGCCAAAGCCTCCAAGCAGCCCCATGTGGTCCGTATGTCCTTTCACTGCACCGCTTAATTATTCATTTGTGGTAAAACGTATTAATGTTCTACATGCTGTGTGTTCCTCTGCTGCAGGGAGACTACAGACAGCTGGTTCACGAGCTGGACCAGTACCAGTACTGCGAGCTCCGCCTGGTGGTCTTGGACATCCGCAACATTTATGTAAGACAGAGCGTGTGTCATAAATCTAATCTTTTGTGTTTTAATGGAGTCGTATGTAAATCCCTGCAGCTGTGTTCCCAGCAGCGGGACGGCGGCTCAATGGATCCGTTCTCCGCTAACGGGACGCAATTAGGCTAATTACTCAGCACATGTTAAATTAATCAGCTCTCAGTGTGTCGTGTCCATAAATCAGTTCCCTTTGGTCGTCCTGTTTGATGTCCTTTAACAAGGCGTCGCAGCTTGTGATGAAAGGGCCGGGTTGTGTGTGTGTGTGTGTGTGTGTGGGTTTGTTTTTGGTGACATTTGGGGGCAATTTTAAGACAAAAATCCTACATTTGGGGACAACCGGTGCATTTGGGGACCTAATTCGAGTCCCCGTTTGGTTTAAATGCCAATGGTGGGTTGAGGGTTGGGTTTAGGACCAAGGTGTGAATTGACTTTAGGTGAGTTTAAGGGTCAGGTAGGAACCTGTGAGGTTAGTTTCAGGGTAAATAGTCAGGATTACGTAGCCTGGTAAAAAACATTCCCTTGTCCTTCACTTTGCTTCATACGAGGGTCTGGACTCTCGGCTATAGAGAAGCGATTCTTGCTGGAGGCGTGGCCTCTGCTGAAGTTTAAAACGATTGGATCAGTTGGAAGGTGTTGTCGCTGTGACGGAGGCTAAGTTAAGAAGCTAACCGGAAATCGCGTGTGCTGTAAACAACCCTACTGAGAGGAGAGAAGTACCGAGCCGAACGAGACGACTGTACAGTGGTTTGCAAAAGTATTCATACCCCTTGAACTTTTCCATATTTTGTCACATTACAACCACAAACATAAATATATTTCACTGGAAT